AAGTGCTTTCTGCCTGGTCTGGACAATTTCAATCCCTTCTGAAGCAGAACAGAGGTGTCTATCTCCTTCAGTTAAAGTGCTGTGAGACTGAATGAATCCTGTGATGACCTATGACTATTCATGGTAAAGGATGAGGTCACTAGGAAATATTTTGATTTCCTATTATTGATACAGGAACTTATTTCACAAAACCTAAAGTTCATCCAAAGAGGTTCAAATGAATGTCAGTATTTTTTGTCCACTCCTGCATTTAGAATCCAGGTTCAAATCACTTAACTAGCAGTGACTTAGTAATCTAACACATCCAGGGTCATAGTGTAGCTTTGAAGCTTAAACTCTGTTGTTTTCTTAGTAAAATTATGATGGGGCAGACAATAAAAGAAAGAAAAAACCCCCCCACAAATAGGTCCTCCTCCAAAGTCTGGCAAGTATATCCCATGAGGAAAACATATTAAACTTGAATTAAAAACTTGTTCATCTCTCAAGCACAATTACCTCTAAAGGCCTCTTTTTCAACAAGGGTGTGGGAAGTGGTTGGGTTTGTAGCACATAAGCCAAAGCCATGAACTGAACATTCTGCCACCTCAAGAGAAGGGAATTAAAACAAGCATAGGTCTTGGACAACTTTTTAATTATATTTACTTTGTAATCTTGCAGTGCTAATACTGTAATATTAGTAAGCATCCATGTGATAACACATTTAACTTTCTCATTATTTTCCAGTAAGCAATAATTGCAGGAGCTCTGGTTAAAAGGAAACTCAATAATTACACTTATTACTTGGTGGATTTGAAGACTCTGGAGCTGCAGCACACTCTAATATTGTGACAGGAGCTTTTCAATCTTACAGTTATGGTCATTATTCACAAAGGGAAACAATGGATTCCCAAACCGTTGACAAAGAAAAGAAGTTTGACGTAAAATAAGCATAAAATAAAAATTATTTTAATTCATTGGGATATATTACAAAGAAAAATAACCAAAATCTACAGCCCTACAAAGCAACAAATTTTAAAAAATGGGTACAAGCTGAATAAAAGGAAGAGTAATGACCTGGTTAAACCTCAGAGGGAAGCAATGCCAAAGTCAGGCACCTCAAACAAAGAATGGGTAGATGGACCTGACACATGGGTGCTTTCTTTAGAGGAAGCCTCTGTTTGGAGTGCAAGTCATTCCAGCTAATGGGTAAGTCTTGTCCATTGACAATCACATTAGCCCTTTTTGCTATTTTAGTCAAATAAGGCTAATCATTTAGCGTGCCTAATTTATATAGCCATGAGGGTGGGTTATCAGCACAGATGTACTGAAGCATAAAAGACTTGGGAACACTGACCTATCTGTCAAATTTGATCAAGCCCAGTGAAATTCAATTTGTTAATCTTGCTTCACAATCCTACCCTCATGCACTCTAAACACTAAAACATTTTGTATTGCACTGAGGAGCACAGTCTACAGTGAGACTTAGTTGGACTAATCAGACTCATGTATGAGTGATGTTAACCATTGGAGCAAGGGATGTGACTTTTAGAATTAGAAGGCTAAAAGTAGGACTGAAAATCTGTAAATATTGGTAATATATATTTGCATGCCCAGTTCTTACCTTAGAGTGCAAGACAACAATGTAATACTTTAATAGTAACTGAGAAAAGAAAAGAAATCAGGAATGTTTTCTCATTAAATGGAGAGGATGCTGGTTTTGAGTGTGTATATATACATACATACTCAAGCTTCAAAAATTAACCAGGGTCAGATATTCAGCTCTGGACTTCTCACTTCTCTAAAACAGGGATTAATACTAATTTTGTGCCTTAAAGCCAAGGTTTCTGAGGTCAAGAGAAGAGCAGAGCTCTCCTAGTACCCACTCAGGCCTCATTCCAAAGGACACATCGTTTTCATCACCTACCTAAGTTTACCTCCGTCATGAAGTTTAGCCTTGGCCTTTGAATCCAGTACTACCCAGAGATGTCCATATTTCAGGAACTGAAACAGCACAAGCTCTTAGCAGTTGATTTTTTGCTGTTTCCAGTCGACTCTAAGAGTGGCTACATTTGTACAGATTATTTTTCCATTATTTGCAAACTACGGTATATGTAAATCTGCAGTTAGAAGAATCTCAGTCCTGGTTTGTTTCATGACACTCATCCAGTTATCCTTCTGAAGGAGTTTTCTACCTTATTTGTTCTCTCAGCATACAGGACAAGAGAACATTCCTGTTTTCCAGTCCCTGCCCAAATTGCAGACAGAAGCTTATTGGATTGAATTAGAGAGAATCAAACTTGAATAATCATTATGGTCCTCAATTTGAGACAAATTTGGATAATAACTGTATCCAAGTATAGACTCCAGCAGATACATTTGGTCCTTAAATCATACCAGAATATTCAAGAAATAGTTCTGGAACACAAAGAACATCAGCTAGAGGAGAATGACCACAACAGACTTAACTCAACCTGTCTTAAAACGTCTTATCTATTTCTAGTTATGAAAAATACTAAATAAATGAATAAGGTAAGACAACCTTCCCAACTAATTGAGCTTTTACTAAGTAAAGGACTAAAACAATATGATTCTTTATTGGTACAGGTAGACACAATTCTGAATCATATGGGAAGTATTCAATTAACATTGATGAGACTTGACAGATGCACTGTCTGGGAAATATCTTGGTTCTTCTCCCATTAGATTTATTTATATAAGCCCATTTTCAGTGTTACACTGATTATCAGTGAACATTAGACTAAAAAAGTAGGTAATGTAAAGCCACAAAGTCAACTCTCTTGAAGAGGTTGCCAATCTGGTCATGACCTGCCCATGTACTTTGGAAACAAACTCCACATACCACTGGTATGCCTTTTTGTTTTAGAGCTTGGTCACCAACACCACTACAGAACAACTGTGAACAGGACCTGCATGCAGCTGGTTCACACAGAATAGTTCTTCCAGCATTTGCTTTGCTTCTCTGTATCACGACAACTCAGTGAGGGAGTTAAAAGTGATGCTGTTTGGAAGCCTGGAACAATTTAGTTTTATTTATCATAATTAAACCCTAAAATGTAATGGCACAAACACTCTGAAAAAGGTGTGTGGGAAAGGAAAAGAATATTAGAAACAAACAAACAACATAAAATCTGTCTGCTGACCTCAATTATTTTCCTAGCATGAAACCCAGAAAAAAAAAAAAGTGTATTTCTTAGGCAGTCATATATTGCCATTTAATCAGTTATGCCACATATTATAAGGCTATCTTTCCATGGCATGGAAACAACACCCAACACTAAACACCTATTGTCTTACTCACAACTGACAGTTCCTGGAAAAAAATAAGTGTCTAATTTGAAAATTGATTTAAATATAACAACTCTTTTTTCTTTCTTGAGTTTTCTGAAAAATGGAATCAATTAGTGCATCCATGATATCACCAGTGTGTGCTGAGCTGTGTATAAATCACTACAGAAGAGAGACACTGAATTCCATACGTATGCAGGTGATTTGTGGACACAGGTTCCATATCCTCATCAAACAGACATGGCCTTCTATGCTACTTTGGTTACTTTATAGCACTAGTCAGAATCATAATCCAATGTTTGCAGTGGCTAAAAAACCATTTTAGTTCCCTAGTTTATGAGTTATGGTTTGGGACTAGTTTTACTTGTTCTCTCCTTAGACATTTAAGGGGAGTTCAATGCTTCCCTGTTTATATGTTGTGAGGGGTGAAAAAATAAAATCCCAATTATCCTCTGTTGGTTAAAACCTTGTTTGAATAAGGTTTTGCATTCACAAACAGAAGGGAGAAGGAAATATATATCTAATTTTTTTCCTATTTGTCTAGGGCTTGTTCCATCGGTGTGAAAAGTTATTTGTGTAGTTACATCTATCACATATTCACATTTACAATTAGCAGTCTGGTAAAGCTGACACATTTCGAATGAAGCGAAGACTCATATGTGGATGAGAAAAAAACCCCAAAACCCTGGAGATTCTTTAAACTAAAAATCCTGGATAATGACTTCCAACCTAATCACAGTTAGCCAGGTGGTGAGGTTTGAAGCTCCACATTAGTCTCTGGATAGAAAGCTTCAGTAGAAGAGCAGGAAGAAGATGAGGAAGAAGCAAAACTGCAGCAACAAGAGGCTGATGTCATCATCATCATCATCATCATTAGTGAAGAAGGCACAGCATGGGTGTCACTATTTAGATTTCTAAAGCTTTGCTGAATTCTTTCCCATTGTGCACAGGTGAGAACATGGCCCTACCCAGACACTCCTTTTAGGAGCTGACACTGAACGTGTGTGAGCACAAACCCCAAGGCTACCGAGGCCTAACCACAGAAATTAACTTCTCTTCTTGAATGCTGTAATGTTGAGAGAAGATCTTTTAATTGCCTTACCATGAGAGCACCAAAAGACAGCAAATCCTGTCTTGCATCATATGCCTTTCTAGTGGACAGCTGTGTAAAATACAGTTCTCAGCTCCACTTCTGGATATAAATGTAGACAAAAAGATACACATTCTACCTCATTAGGCTGTGAAGATAATTGTTAGGCAAACTATTTTGAATATATACATCATAAAGAAAATGATGTATATTTTTATATATACACACACATTTTTATATACCTATGTGGGTTTGTGTGTGTAAAATACAGATATATACTACCCAGCTAATCAGAAGACTCGGTGAAAACTGTTTTTAAAGACACACTGAAATAAAAAACTAACATATGCAATATGGAATGTTACCACATGGCTGAAGATGTGTTTAAGTTACCATATAGCATTAAAGCAAATATCTCTTGCTTCAATATTCAGTAGGGGGAATTGTAGGCTTTCTTCCTTTAATTTACTTTCACTTTTCTTCACTTAACTATTGAACCAGAGTGTCAATAGTGAAATATGTGTGTCAGAGAACTTGATAAATTCAGAATAATTATTAAAAAGTAAAAAAAGAGAAACATACTTTATCTCAAAATAATATGGTGTAAAATAAAGCATTATTATACCTGCAATGATGTCATCCATCTGCTCCAAAGCTGCCTCCAGCATATGACTCGCGTCAGAAGCCATCATCTGGAATTTCTTCAGATCTCTACTCTTTCTACTGAAAAGACAGATGAAACCATGTGTATTACACTAAATAACCTGACAGAAAAATATGTCACTGTTACATTATAAATCAAGCCACAGAAACACAAGTCCATGCTAGCAAAAATACAGCCTAGTAAGAAGAAAACTAACAAAAAACCTGTTCCTATTCTTGATAGATGACTTGGGATTTCTGAGGTTTTAATTCATCAGTGATTCATTTTTTAAAGAGACTTTACTAATAAACAAGGAAAACAAAACCAAACAACCTCAAATACTGGAAGCTTGAGATGCCCCTACTCCTCATCCTTATCAATGGCTTCCTAGATTCAAATTCAGTGCACCTCAACCTTTTGTTCTGTGGGAAAAAAAGAGGATTGACTAGGGTTCAATAAAACAATGGAGACATGGGGAAAAACATACCTAACTATAAACAAAACTCTCCTTTTTGATTGCTGCCTTAAGAGTAAAGACAATTCTGAAAGTTTTTACTCCTCCTTTCTATATCCCTATTCAATATTTCCACCACTTCATCATGACACTGAAAACACAATTCTTTCTGAACAGATTTGAACAAATAACAAAAATGCCCCAGGTATGAATTGTCTGAAGTTACTGCTGCCTCTTTAAAACAGGATTAAATACATTCATGTTACCGTCTGACATTGAGGGTAACAAAGAAAATCTTCCAAAATGAGTCTCTACTTGTGAGTTGGTGTTGCTGGACTCTTAGACAAGTAGCAGTCACTGTTGTCAACATATGACATTTCAAAGGGGAAAATAATTTATGCAGCCCATTTCACTGCCAGTGAGAAAATTCCCTCTGAAATAAGGCCCTTTTGCACATCACTTCATCCCTGAAGCATGAGACCAGTGCCCACACAGTGAGGAACATACTTATGCATGACTTTCACAGTGCTCTAACACACAACTCAAAATACTGACAAAGCCTACAAAGGGTCATAGTATTTTCATTTCTCTTCCATGAAGGGTGCAATTCAGTCTTTTGACATTCAGTCTTCTGACACAGCAAGTTTTAAGATCTGTATTTCAAAACTGTTCCATTTTGACAGCTTTCTAAGCCTCACAAAAGACACCTGTCTGACAATGGATAGAGATGTCCTTCAAATGACTCAGGTTGTAGGTAAGTGCAGAGGCAATGGTCCTATGTTTGTGGGGTCTATTTGTCCAGTGCTACTGAAATGCCATTAATCTGTATTTATCGTGTCATTACTTACACTAAGAAATCAAGTATTTTGAATTTAAATAAATATTACAATAATCTTTAATGGCAATTCACATAGATTTGCACTGTGTCCATCCAGTGACAGTTCAGGCACTGGCCACCAAGGCCAATTGCATGACTGGTAGCTAAACCACTCACATTTATTCTCTCAGCTGCAGCCTGACTAAACACTGGAATGTAGAATCAGCACTCAGGATAAAGTTAGCTTTAAAATAAAATCTTAATAATTTTTTCTTTCAGTGGGACTGTCAGGGAAAAAAAAAAAATCTCTAAAAGTACACTTATGGTTGAGTCCAAATTACTGCATCACAACTGCTGTTCAGTCTCAGTAATAAGCCTGAGTCAATGAAAATTTGTACTATCAAGTCAAAATTATTTTCTTCTCTTGCAAACTAAGAATCCTGAGACACAGACTTTTCTCCATAGTACTGGTGAATTATACACAAAGAAAGCTAATTTATTAGTAACCTCTGTATTATCAGTGCCCTATGTCCATGCCAGTCAATGTATATAACCCCACTATCTAGAGAGACAGATGCAGGAATGAGTCAGAAACTACAGTGTTCTAATTTGAACTCTGCCATTTATAGCTTGTCATAATGGGTAAGCCATTATCTAACTTCAGATCACATTGATCTGAAGAGCAATATGAGAATGTGTTATCTTTAGTGTCACCCAAGGCAAAGATTAATGTAAATGAATGGTTGTTTCTGGACTCTCCCTTTTTTGTCAAAACAATCTTTTAAGTATGAACGACGCTAAATGTAACTGAACTTACCCAAAATACATGTCACACAAATATTTCATTTAATGGTACCGGAAATAACAAAAATTGTGCTCAGAATAATCTGGAAAGTCAGCTGATATAAACTTAAAATTTCAGAACCCTTGCACACATGAGCTTTACAGACACTCCCTCTGATTCTGTTTCTCCAGTCTGTTGGTTCGGGGAGATTTCCATCTTCTGTTGCCACATTTACATGCCACTGAAGACTTGAGAGATCCCCGATTCTCCACTGCAGAGAGCCTCCTTGCTTGCAGTATTTCCTCTAGTTCAAAGCAGCCATAACATCAGTAATAATCACCTTAGTGAAAGGAAATCCACCCACATGAGCAGCTGCCAGAGAGGCACCAAGGATACCCTGTGCCTTTGGCGGATGTGGCCACCGGCCACTCCCCCAGAAATGCATGGCCACCAGCTGTGCTGGTAAATCAGGACAGCAGACTGGCTCAAAATCAGGAGGAAAAAGAGTGAAAAATACTAAAAATAGCATAGAGTTTCTATTTCTAGATTGCAGTCCATGCCCTTCTTTGTGCTGTAGGCTACTTCTCCACGGGCTTAAAGCAGCTAAAGCATGGCTGTTGTTACAACAAGAAATGCAGAACTACCATTTTTCTGAACATCTAATATTTTTATATCTACTATTTGACCACCTGTAGCGACAAAGGTACAGAAAATGCTGATACACTCCATCGCAAACTTGAAAATTTACTTATAGAAAAACCTTCCATCAAGACCTTGGCAAAATCCAGGAAGTTTTGCTGAAAAACACCACCACAAGTAAGTCTTCTATCTCCTCCCAGCCTCCACACTCAGCCTGTTTTCTCACCTGTACCCACAGTGTATTTGCTGCTTAACTGCACTAAGCTAAAGTAAAACCTGCTTACCAAACAACGATTTATTAATAAAAGCAATGTTCTTTGCTCCATAGCGATAATGTAATATTACTTGCTTGACATCTTTTTCTAGACAGACCTGTTGCTTGTGCTTCAGGCAAGTCTTACTTTCCCAGACACTCCCTTCTTACAGCTGGACTGTTCTGAGCAATATTGTGAAAACAGCTCATTAGATCTCCCGTGTTTTCAGTTACCATTTCTCATCTAGTTCTGTACAAATACCTGCAATTGTGGATTCTTTTTCTAACACTATTAAATAATAAGACACCTGTATCAATCCCTCAAACAGGATCCATCTCTTTGCTGGTATTTTAATCACAGTTCCTTTTACAGTTTTCATTCCTGAATGACATCAACAGATGCAGAACATGAAGACTTACTTAACTATGTAAAAATATACATATATTTGGTAAAAAAAGGTTTTTTCAGCTTTGATAAGGACTGAACAAAAACTATCCCTAATATTATAGTACAAGCTCTAATATTAGCAAATTCTAACTTTCAGGACTTATTAATTTATATGCCAGCAAAATACAAGAACCAATCTACTCACCTTTTGAGGTCCCTAAGAAGAAAAGAATTTACTTTTTTGCCTGATCAGTAAAAATTCCTCGCTATTAATAGCCAAAGTTTTACTATTAAGCAGACATAAGTCTAAATTACTACTGACCCTTCTAAGCCACACGCTCATACTAATTTAGAGCCCAGCCCACAGAGATATTGCAACCCTGTTTGTTATAATTACCTAAGTAATGAGATCTTCCAGGAAGTGCAGACAGAGCAAACTGGTCTGAATCTCTTAAATTTATTTTGCTAAGCTAGTTTTACCCTATAAGTCCCAGTCTGAGATTTGCATTTCAAATAAAATGAAAAAGCTCTGGCAGAACTATTGTGCTTAGAGTCAATATCCCTTGCAAATCTCTTAACCTACATTCTGTATGTAAAACTACAGGTTACTGTGTCCAAAAAGAACATAATATTTAACAGATGTATTCACTATGAACAAGATGTTCTTCAGAATTATGAAAAGCTTTAATTAAATTTGAATCTTTCATGGCTGGCTTGAACCAGCAGCTATCCAGAGGTAAGAATGTTAACATTTAGGCAACTCAGATGTTTTCCCAAGGTTGCTCCTAAAAATGAGGTTGCCAATACTATCAGTTTTGGAGAAGGGTGTAGTTTTTGACAAGAACTCCAGAAATTCAGATCTTTGGATCTTGTCTGTGGCCTACAAATTCCTCCAACGTTTAGCAGACACAGCTAATAATTAACTATCACCACCATTTTTTCCCCTGGGATGAATAAATACATGTTTGTAAACTGTTTAAATACTCAAATTCAAGTATTACACTGCTTTGTACTTAATGGTATAATGAAATAACGAGTGCCTTGGGTAAGCTTCAGAAGTCCCCCACGCTCTTCTTCAGCTGCAAGACGACTCCTGCCCTGGAAGGAAGAAATGTGCACAATTTCCACCCTCGCTATTTCCCACCTTGCTTCTCCCCCAGCCACATGCTCTGTTGTATCCAGACACCCCACAGGAGCACAACTGCTGATTCATGTCTCCCACTGGCTCTGCAGGACTCAGGACACTGTCAACTACAAAAGTTATAAATGCATATTTGCATCCTGGCCTTTTAGAACCTGCCATAACTCTCTAATTAAGATAATCCTTAGTCCTAAATAACCATACACAGCTGCTGGGAGCAGAAGAATTCCTGATGATCACTAGAACGACCGCCTAAGGAACACTGTTTATACAGGATGCTCCAGGGCTACCCAGCCACAAATCCTATTTATCTGACAGGCTGAGAGAGTTGGAGCTGTTCAGCCTGGAGAAGAAAAGGCTTCAGGGACACCTTCCAGCAGCCTTCCAGTACCTAAAGGGGCTACAAAAGAGCTGGAGAGGGACTTTTTGCAAAGGCATGTAATGACAGGACAAGGGGTAATGGCCTTAATCTGAAGAAGAGTAGGTTTAGATTAGACATTAGGAAGAAATTCTTTAATTGTGAGGGTGGTGTGGCACTGGAACAGTGGATGCCCCATCCCTGGAAGTGTTCAAGGCCAGGCTGGATGGGACTTGGTCTAGTGGA